GGCTGTTCAATTCCAAATTATTATACCTAAAACTAGTAATAAATGACAACTTGATGCCCATTTGGCTTTGATGCCCTGTGCGGCCGCACGGGCTGCACGTGGCCAGGGCCGAACCTGTTAATTCATCACTTCAATTCATCTTCCTTCAAGCTTCAATCCATCTTCCAAGTAATTTCATTGCATTTATCACTATATTTTTTTGGCATTTCATTGCATTAATTATCACTATATTTTCTTATGGATATCTCCAAAGCTCAACTACATACAAACAAGGGTAGACAAACTTAGGGGCAGTTTACCAAATGCTTACCTAGGTAAGCTTTTACCAAGTCACATTACTTTATCGGATGAATATGACAAGGACCAAAAATCATACCCGATAAGAACGAAGACAAGGACGAAGACAAGGACCAAAAGTCTTACCCGGTAAGTGATGACGACGACTCTTACCATGGTTAGCGTTTACTGGGTAAATTATTATATACAATGTCATTTTTGTGGACTCAAATCTTACTCGATAAGTAATGATAGTGTTAAAATTTACCGATAAACGCTTACCGGGTAAGTGTTTAGGTAAACGGCCCCTTAGTCTTGAATATGGCCTTAACAACTTTCACTTTCAGATATGTTTTCATTTTTTTTGGCATCATCTAATTATTAAATCATCCCAAGTAAATGTATTCAACATATTGATACGCACTGTGTGTAAAAGTTAGGTTGTCCATTGTAATTTATAAAATAATACCTTGGATTAACTTTGAACTTCTTTTCCATTTTGAAGGGTCAATAGACGGGCCATATCTCGCTTTTATGTATTATTCTTCAGATCGAATCAAATGGATATTTAAACAAAGTGTGTGTGTTTGTTGGATCAATCCAAATGATTATACCTCTAACATATGCCTTATTTGTGTTTGTCTTTTTTGGCCTTGTCGAACCAACTACTTCAGAAGGGACACCTTGGTCTTTTCATAATTTGATCGAAGTGGAAATGAGTAATAACCACAATGTTAAAAATATTATTCCATCCAATGAGTTGCTACAGCTGGGAAAGTTTCGATTAATCAAAGAATACTGAAATTGATTAATCAAAAAGTGATCATTCAGGGTTACAGAAGGGTCCTGGCTATTTATAGGCTAAACTAGACTTGGAAATCTAAGAATCAAATCAAATTAAACTTTAATGAGATAGATACTATCCTACTTGGAGGAACTTGAATATGGAAAATAATCATTTCCCAAGTAGATAAAATTCTTACAAAACAAATAGTCAAGATTATGGTCTAAACTATTACATTGCTTTTGCTTATGACCTGAAGATGGTTGGATTAGTGTTTTATTTGTGGTTTTTAGGATAAGAAGCTAAAGATCAGTCTTGCATGTTATAACTGATGAAGATATGCTCATGTCCTTTGTACATCAGAATTACAAGTCTGGAGACTTTAGACAAGCATTAGATCATTGCAAGGCCATTTATGATAGAACCTCTTTATGCTTGTTGATTTCGATTCATAAAATTGAATGCCCGTCTCATTAACCAAATAAACCATCCGGTATAACATTGTTGCCTGTAAATTCATTCGATATTAACAACTGGAGGTAACATGTCAATGGGAGATCATGGCATATGTTGTTTGCTTAATTTTCTTGTGAGAGAACTTTTTCTATATTGGAAGCCAACCTAAGGCCAAGTACTTATGTCAATATGTCATATCATATGCTGAATTGGCTGGTAAACAGGGATCAATAGCAACATTGTAGTGATGAGGTTGATAAGTTATGAATTTTTCGTTACACATAATCGAGAGAGGAATTGGGAGTAGAGAAGCTATTTGGTTTGTTTTTGGGCAGCATCAAGTACTTATTATTCTGGAATTCCATTCTAAACTTAAGTTGTATGTGGGATACAAGCATATATAGGGTTCGTGATGATTGGTTTTTGGCTATTATATATATATATATATATATGTTAATTTGGCATGTGGGGATTCTATGTTTATATAGGAAATTCAAGTTGGAATGGGTTCAGCTGGAGAGCTTCGACACTCATCTTAAGGGCTGTTTGGCAATTGCTGAATGGTTTGGTGCAGAATGATTAAGAGGCTGTTTGGCAATTGCTGAATGGTTTGGTGCGGAATGATTAAGTGGTCGGAATGATTAAGAGGCTCTCATGATATAATGCAAAATGAAATATAATTGTTTGGTAATTGTGTATAATGAAAATAGGGCTCTTAATGGTTAAAGGAGATCCAAGATACAAAATCATTCAGAAGGTTTTAGAACCATTAAAAGGCAAACTTTTTTTTTTGCCAAACAAGATTCATCTCTTAACAATTCAGAGGTTGCCTCTTAATGGAACTATTAAGAGGTAAACAAACAACCCCTAAGTGGTCAGAATGATTAAGAGGCTCTCATAATATAGTGCAAAATGAAAATACAATTGTTTGGTAATTGTGTACAATGAAATTAAGGCTCTGAATGGTTAAGGGAGATCCATAATACAAAATCATTCAAAGGGTTTTAAAATCATTAAGAGGCAAACTTTTTTTTTTTTGCCAAACAAGATTCACCTCTTAACGATTCAGAAGTTGCCTCTTAATGGAACTATTAAGAGGTAAATAAACAACCCTTACCCAGAGAAAGACAGAATATGAAAATTCCCATGAATTGGAGCCTTCCAGTGTTATGACAAGGTATATATATGTACAATTTTTCTTTCTTGTGTTTGTTTGTAGGTTGTAGCATCAAATGTTTACATGATAGTGTTGTGTTTGCAAATATGATGAGTAGCTTGAAAAATGCAGATAAAAACTATGATAAGCTAGAATGGGGCAACACTAGCCCCACAGATGCCGGGGAATACAACAATTGGCCCGAAGACACCACTTTCTTTCTTTTTTGCTACTATTTGTTTGTTCCTTAAACCTATTAACTAAATATAGCAAAATGGACAGATAAAGCCACTCGGGTACTAGGTTATAACAAGTAAGTTCTAAGTACGAGTCGATGGTGATAGGATTGGGAGGACGACAAACGTTTTTTTGACCTTTTTTCATCGAATTTTATGAGCAACTAAATCACTAAAATAACTGCAAAAGTTATATATGTTTATAGTAATAGGATAGGGTTTCGGTGAGAAAGACAGTTATGGTGAGAAGCGTAAAAAGAGATTTTCATCTTTTGATCAATCCTAATTGAATGTCAATGCTAATGAGACACACCAAGATGCACCAGATCAATTCTTTTCTAAAGCACAATTCATAGACAGAGATGAGATTACCATGACTTTGCTTTCATTTAAAAAGAAAAAAAGTGATTTGAGAAAAGTTGCATGCAATTTGATTCGGAGACTTTTGACCCATTGGACCCATTTTTACTTTTAGGGTTCATTTTCTCAAATGCTTACCCGATAAGCGTTTATCAATAAGAGTCAACACTATAATCTATTTTGATGCGTATGATTTTAGTACATCAAAACATATCGAATGCAACAATTTACTTGGTAAGCGCTTACCTGGGTAAGAGTCGTCATCCTAACTTATCGGGTAAGACTCTTCATCCTTCTCATTGCTCTTACCCAGTAAGATTCTTGGCCCTTCTCATATTCATCGAATGAGGAAATTTATGCGTTAAATACTTACCAAGTAAGTGTTTAGTAAATGACCCCTTAGCCAACCTATTTAATTTTAACCGTTTAATTCATCGGAGATAAAATATAATTAAATGGAAAAATTATTAAAGTAGTCATTTTGACTATATGGTTTCACCTCATAGTCAGTTCTTTCTAAGAATCACGAAAACAACACTTTGTCTATAAAAATCATGCAGATCTAGCTAAATGACAAAAAGATGTTACTGAAAATTGCAAACTGGGTGAAAAATGTAACATTTTTTGTGGACTTGAATGAAAAATGTACATTTTTTTGTTGTTTAGCTTTATGGACTTGAAAATTGCTGAGACCTAAAAATTACGGAGGTAATGATTTTTGATGAGAAACGGTTAAGAGGTAAAATCATGCCGCTTTGTGGACCTAAAAATTATGAAGGTAATGATTTTTGACGAGAAACGGTTAAGAGGTAAATCATTCTATCAAAATGCCTATTTTAATTAATTTCCTTAAGTAAAATCAACCTTTTACTTATAAATGGGTCGGAATTACCACCTATACCTTTGACCTATTTAGTATTCAAATGTTTGTTTTGTTTCACAGGATCGTAAAAAGAGAACATAAATAAAAACATAAGTCGTTTTTGGTGCAATTCCTAAGGTATTGAGATGGTTTAGTTTAATAAAAGAGTTCCATTAGCTCCTTTAGTATCATAAAACGAGACAATTATAAACTGAATTAAATAGAAACAGTTAATTGTCATTGAATGGTTTCTTTACAAAACCGAAAAACTTTGTAGTTCTTTTCTTTCAAGGAAGTCAAGGAAACCCCCTTCCGACACCCCGACGAGCCATCTGCTTAAACGGACCCTCTGTACGGTGCACCATTTCATAAATAATTCGGTCATAAAATACTTGCTAAGGACAAAGAACCAAATACATTTAAGAACGGCTTAGTTCTTAATCATATGTTATTTGTTCACAGTAAGGTAATTATGACAATTAGTGTTCCAACCGCGCGTTGCATAGTAGTGATAATACCATCTTCAAAAGAAATGTTATAGACTTAAAATTTGAAGTCCGCTTTTAAAAAAAATTAGGCAAATGTGTGTGACAACTGCTCATTAACATTAAAAGTTTTTAAGAGAAGTTGACAACAATCTTAGAACCATATGTTATTTAAGTTATCTAACTATACTCAAGAATGGTGTTACAAATTACTCTACAGATGTTTGACTAATGTTATAGTTTGTTTTTAGTTAGAAGTCACAATTCTAACTGAAATCTCATATAAGGTGACAAAATCATGTTGTTCATTTTGTAACAAATTTAATTAAAATCTCATTTGAAATTATGAAAATGAAGCGTTCTATAATATTTCAAGTGAAGATTAGAGGAATGCGTAAGTTGTAGCAACAGTAGTGGAAATTCAAAGCGATGCATGAAAAACCACATCTCTAAACTAAGATAATGAATTTTTCCTCATAAAAAATAAAATTTAATATCAAGTGGGGTCGATGACCTACATATCAGATATTACACTGATAAAAACAAATACTACATTTTATAATATTTAAATTGTAATTAGAGGGTGTATCAAACCTTGATAGTAGTAACACTAAGACGACAGATAAATAACTACATCACCAAGTAGTATAATAGACATTCTCATATACAAAATAAAATACCAAGCAAGTTGAAAACGCATATATTAGATATCAAACTAAAAACATATAATATACTTGATCTAAACAAAAAAAAAAAAAAAAAAAAAAACTATGTTTGTTCCATTGTTAGTCATTTTTTTGTAGTAATCTCCCTCTTGCCACTTTCACTCTATCATGCTATGCGGGATGCAATTATGCAAACAAT